GGCGGAGGAGCGGCGGAACCAGAACATCGGCTACAAGTTGGGCCACCGGCGAGCGCTCTTCGAGAAGCGCAAGCGGCTCAGCGACTACGCGCTCATCTTCGGCATGTTCGGCATCGTGGTGATGGTCACCGAGACCGAGCTCTCCTGGGGGGTCTACACCAAGGTGGGGAGGGGTCTTAGGGTGGGGATGCGGGAATCCGGGGTCCGGCTGAGCTCACGGTGGTTCTATGGTGTCGTAGGAATCGTCGTATTCGTTCGCCCTGAAATGCCTTATCAGCCTGTCGACGCTCATCCTGCTGGGGCTCATTGTCATGTACCACGCCAGGGAGATCCAGGTGAGCGCCCCTGGCCGGGGGGGGGGGGGGGGGGGCGGGGCACCTGTTGGCACCTGGCTGGGGGTGTGGGACCGGCAAAAAAACCCCAAAAAACAAGGAAAAACCAGACCCCTCTGTTCCCAAAAATAAATAAAAAGAAGTTTTGGGTTTATACTACTAAAACAAGTCATCCTTAAAATAATACCCATGAGTTAACATACCCCATAAGTTAATACCTCCTCAAATTAATTCAAAACCCCTCAAATTAACCAAAACTCTTCAAATTAACCCAAAACGCCTCAAATTAACAAAAAAAAAAACCCTTAACTTAACAAAAAAACCCTCTCAAATTAACCAAGAAAATCTCAAAGTAACAAAAAAATTCAAATTAACCAAAACCCCCTCAAATTAACCAAAATACCCCCTGATATTAACTTCAGACTCCTCAAATTAACCAAAAATCTCCTTAAATTAACGAAAATACCCCCTCAAATTAATAAAAAAAAGCTTTACTCAACCAAAAAAAAACCCTCAAACTAACAAATTTCAAATTAACCAAAAAAGACGCCTTAAATTAACCGAAAAGACTTTCAAATTAACTAAAATACCCCCTCAAATTAACCAAAATTACCCCTTAAAATATCTCAAAACCCCTCAAATGAATCCAAACCTCCGCAGCTGTTCATGGTTGACAACGGCGCCGACGACTGGCGCATCGCCATGACCTCGGAGCGTGTCTTCTTCATTGCGCTGGAGCTGCTGGTGTGCGCCATCCACCCCATCCCCGGGCAGTACCTGTTCACCTGGACGGCCCGGCTGGCCTTCACCTATGCGGCCTCGGTGGCCCACGCCGATGTGGACATCATCCTGTCCATCCCCATGTTCCTGCGGCTCTACCTGATCGGCCGCGTGATGCTGCTGCACAGCAAGCTCTTCACTGACGCCTCGTCGCGCAGCATCGGCGCGCTCAACAAGATCAACTTCAACACGCGCTTCGTCATGAAGACCCTCATGACCATCTGCCCTGGCACGGTGCTGCTGGTCTTCAGCATCTCCTCCTGGATCATCGCCGCCTGGACCGTGCGTGTCTGCGAGAGGTGAGTGGCTGGGGAGGGAGGGGAAGGTTGTGGCTTGAGGGTTCTTGTTTTGGGCTTATCATGCAGTTTTCATGGGGTTTTTGTGGGTGGAGGGAAAGTTCGGGGTTTAGGGGTTCCATTTTGGGGTTTTCATAGGTGGAGGCAAAGCTCATAGTTTAGGGGCTCCATTTTGGGGTTTTCTTGGGTGGAGGTAAAGGCTGTAGCTTAGGGGTTCCCATTTTGAAGTTTTTGTGGGTGGACTTAAAGGTCAGGGTTTGGAGGTTACAGTTTTGGGGTTTTCATGGGTGGAGGCAAAGGTTGGGGTTTAGGGGTTCTATTTTGGGGTTTTCATGGGTGGAGGCAAAGGCCATCTTTTCAGGGTTCCATTTTGGGGTTTTCACGGGGTTCTGAGTGAGAAGATTTAGGTGGTAGGGGCTGGGGGTGCAACTGAGGAGGTATCAGGGAGTTTGAGGGGTGGGGGGACCCCCATGGTCAGGATGTTTGGGGTTTCTCAGGTGGAGTTGTCCCCAGGCTCCTCTGTCACCCTGGGGTGGGGCCTGCTGGGTCTGGGGGTGACAGAGAGGGGACCAAGAGCTGGGGGGTGGCAAGAGGATGAAAACTGAGGGTCCCTCAGAGGGAACCAAAGGTTTGGGGTCTCACAGAGGGGTCTGAAGGTTGAGGGTCCTGCAGAGGGGTGCAAAGAGCTGGAGCAGCCAAGGGGACCAAAGATTTGGGGTCCCACTGAGGGGTCCGAGATTGTGACCTTGCCACCGAGGGGACCCTCCAGGACTTTCCCTCAGGACACTCCTCAGCTGCTCCCTGCGGGTGTCTGGACTGTCCCTGCAGGGTGCCGGGAATGTCCCCGCAGGATGCCAGGAATGTCCCCGCGGGGTGCCTGGGATGTCCCCGCCGTGTCCCCGCCCCTGCTGGCCCCGAGCCCCCCCAGCCCCCCCGGGGTCGCGCATTAACCGCTGTTGTTTTCCCTCCCTGCCCGCTCTGCTGCTTGCAGGGACAAACTGTGAGTGACCGCAGGGACCATCCCCCGCCCCAGGCTTCTGCTCCCCGAATCCCCAGAATTTAGGATTGGCTGCGGCCAAGGGCGGGCGGGGGGCGCGGAAAGGGGCCTGGAGCCCTTTTCCTCTTGGAACCTCAGCAGCTGCTTCTTGTCCCCTCCCCGCTGTCCCCCGCCTTGGGGACCTCCGTGGTGACTGTGGGGAACTTTCAGAGAGACCCTACAAGGAGCTGGGAGTTTCCAAAGGTTTTTTTTTCTCCTGGGATCCGACTTTTGTCCCTTCACCTTTCCCCTCCTGGCCCCGCGCGTTTTGCGTTCCTTGAGGGGCAATCCCGGGTGTTCCTTTGGGAATGCGGGTCCCGGGAATTGTCACCATGCTGTCACTTCCCCCCTCGCCTCGGGCAATCCCTGCCGAGTCCCTGCCGGGTGAGGTTCCAAGCCCATACCGGATTGGGAAGCAGCAATCCTAAATTCCTGATGCTTGAGACCCCACAGTCCCACCCCGGCTTGTTCCTCTGTCCCTTTTCCCTTTTCTGACCCTATTTTCCCTTTTCCCACCCCCTTTCCCTTTTTCCACCCCATTTCCCCTTTCCCATCCCATTTCTCTTTTCCCAGTCCCATGTCCCTTTGTCTCATCCCATTTCCCCTTTCCCCAGTCCCATTTTCCCCTTTTCCCATCCCATTTCCCCGCATGTCCCTGTCTCCCTGTCCGGCTTGGCCGCTGCTCTGTGTCCCCCAGCTGGGCTTGTCTCCACCCTTGGGGACAGGGGGGTGGTGGCACCGTGGTGTTTGTGACATCGGAATCTCACAGTGTCCCCCGCTGTCCCCTCCTGTGTCACCTGCGGTGGCCTTTGGGGAATGCACAGTGACATCGGCATCCCGCGTTTTTGGGGACAGTGGTGCCACCTCTGTGCTGTCCCCTCAGTGTCCCCCCGTGCCAAGGGGACACAGCCCTTGCTGTGGGACACCCCTTGGTGTCTCCAATTCTGGCTTGGGGACAATGGCCCAAATCCGCGATGGGCACAATGGGCACAAAATGGGGGGGGGATCCATTGCTGTCCTGCACTTCTGGGGACAGCAGTGCCACCTCTGTGCTGTCCCCTCATTGTCCCAGTGGGACACAGCCTGGCCATGGGACATCGCCATGGTGTCCCCAATTCCATCTTGGGGACAACGCCCCAAATCCACTGCAACGGGCATAAAATGGGGGGAGGAATCAAATTATGGTGGTGACAGCGGTGACAGCGGTGCCACCGCCCTACGCAGGTACCACGACAAGCAGGAGGTGACCAGCAACTTCCTGGGGGCCATGTGGCTGATCTCCATCACCTTCCTGTCCATTGGCTACGGGGACATGGTGCCACACACCTACTGCGGCAAGGGCGTGTGTCTGCTCACCGGCATCATGGTGAGCGTGGGGACAGCCGGGGGACATGGCTGGGGACAGGCTGGGGACATGGGGACATGGCTGGGGACAGCGAGAGGAGACAGGCAGGGACACAGCAGGGTACACCAAGAGGGGACACTGTGAGGGGACACTGCATGGGGACATACCAGGGGACACCAAGAGGGCACATGGAAGAGTACACCAAGAGGTGACACCATGAGGGGACACGGCCTTGGGGACACCGTGAGGAGATTTTCCACTTGGGAAAAGTGATTATTTTTAACTCCAGATTGAGAAGCAAACTGGAATTTCCGTTTCCTGCCATGTTTTTGTTTTTAATTTTTAAACCCAAAATAATGCAAAAATGCAAACGAATAGGTGGAGATAACACTGTCGCCAATGTCCCCACAGGGCGCCGGCTGCACCGCGCTGGTGGTGGCCGTGGTGGCCCGGAAGCTGGAGCTGACCAAAGCTGAGAAACACGTCCACAACTTCATGATGGACACGCAGCTCACCAAGCGGGTGAGGGTGCCTGGCTTGGCCCAAAAAATGGGGAAATCCTGGTAACAATGGGAAAAAAATGTTAAAATCGGGGAAAATTCCATTAAAATGGAGGAAATCCCATTAAAAGTGGAAAAAACTCTGTTAAAATTGGGATGAATCCCCTTAAAATTGATTAAAAGGGGAAAAAGTCCTGTTAAAACCCATTAAAATGGGAAAAATCCCCTGAAGACTGGGAAAAACCCATTAAAACCTGGAAATACCACATTAACCAAGAAAAAATTCCATTAAAATAATGAAAATCTCAATTAAAACTGCAAAAAAAAAAAAAACCCTAAAAGTGGGGAAAACCCCATAAACAATGGGAAAAACCCCCAAAAAACTGGGGAGGAAATGGGAGAAAACGGGAAAAAGCCAATTCTGATGTCCCTTCATGGGTGACCTGTGGGATTTGGGGTCGCAGGTGAAGAACGCCGCTGCCAACGTGCTCAGGGAAACATGGCTCATCTACAAGCACACCAAGCTGGTGAAGAAGATTGACCACGCCAAAGTTCGGACCCACCAGCGTAAGTTCCTTCAAGCCATCCATCAGTAAGTGCCACCGCTTTTCCTGCTTCCTTGTCACCCTCCCTGGCCACAGCCCTGTCTCCAAAGGGGGTGTTTCCCCTCTGGGTGGGTGACAGATGGTCAGCATTGGGGTGGCCTGGGTTTGTCACCCTGGCGGGTGTCTCTGCTGGGTTCGTCACCTGGTTTTGGTCTCTGTCCTGTCCTTGTCCCCATCCCCTGTCCTTGTCCTCCATCCGCTGTCCCCATCCCCTGTTCCATCCCTCTCCCCTTGTGCCATTCCGTGTCCCCCACCTCTGCTGTCCCCTGTCCCTGTCCCCATCGCTGTCCCCCTCCTGTCCCTGTGCCTCACCCCCCACTGGTCACCTTTGAGGTGACCCCCAGGCACCTCCATCTCCCAGGTGGGGTCTGCGGGTGGCCTGGCTGGGACAGGGGGGTCCCTTTGGGTCCCTTTTTGGGGTCTCTTTGGGGTGGTGGTGGTGTCGCTGCCATGCTGTCCCCTCGCCTTTAACCCTTTGTTTTCCCTCTGCTGCACTGCCCCCGCAGAGCTCAGAAGTAAGTGCCCCCCTCCCCTGCCCCACCAGCTTTGCACGGGCTCTGCCTTCACATTTGGGGTGGGGGAGACACGCCAAAAACCCGGGGGGGCTGATTTGGGGGGGAGGGGCTGCGCTTGATGGGAGGAGCTGCACGTTTGGGGGAGGGGCTGCATGGGGAGGGACAGAGGTGACAGAGGTGGCACCGGGTTTAGGGG